TTATATATATTTATATAATTTTGTTATATATATATTATATATTTTTATTTATGTTTTCATTTTCTTATTCCGATCTCTCTACTATCGTTTTAATTTCTGTTGTCGTATACTTTTCTTCTTTTTTTTTTGTCATTTATTTCAGATTCTCTCGTACTACGTGTATCTATGAATCGACTCTACCTTTCAATTTATAAAATTTTTTCCTTTTATTTTTTTTTTCGTCTTTTATATGTTTTCTACCACCCTATTCCACGCCATCTCCTTTCTTTTTTAGGACTCTATTCTCTCCCATTCAGTATCTTTTTTTCTTATCTTTTTCTCAATCTCTCTCTCATCTCGCTCTCTCTCTCTCTCTCTCTCTCTCCTCTCTTCTCTCTCTCTCCCTCTTCTCTCTTCTCTCTCTCTCGCTTCGCTCGCTCGCTCTATTTATCTACCTATGCCTCTCTATCTATTTATCTATCTATCCATGTCTTTCTATCTATTTCTTTCTATCTATTTATGCCTCTCTATTGATCTATTTATCTATCTATCTACATTCTCTCTCTCTCTCTCTCTCTCTCTCTCTCTCTCTCTCTCTCTCTCTCTCTCTCTCTCTCTCTCTCTCTCTCTCTCTCTCACTCTTTTCATTTTCGTGATATTGACACTATCATCACATTCAATTCTGAAAAGTCGCGTTAAAGGAAAATACTTGTTTGAAATAATTGGGTCATTTAGTGTAATAATAACACGGTATCATCAATTATATCGTTATAAAAAAAAATCATCTTTGATTAACTCTTATCAAGTTATAACGTCATAGTTGGTATATATATATATATATATATTATTTTTTTTTTTTTTTTTTCATTTTCTTTCCATCTTTCGTTTAAACCTGATTTTTTTTATTGATGGTGATAATTGATTTTTAATTACTGGATGTGGAGGTCAGTTTATATTGATTTATTACGGATATAGGGTTTCTATAAAGATTTTGTGGCTCCGTCACTGGGAATGAAATAACTGGTTTCTGTTAATTGACATTTCTATCGTAACTGTTCTCAAAGGAATGAAACCTGAGTCATGATAATTCTTTGTCGTTTTTTTTTTCATATTTCAGATTTCTTCGTTTGTTTTATGTCTCTCATTTATTAATTTTCCTTTTTTTTTCTTTTTTTACATGTCTCTACCTTTCCCCTCTCTTTCTCCCTTTAGGCTTTTTCTCTCCCTATCTTTATTCTCATTCTAATGCTCTCTTTCTCTCTCTCTCTCTCTTTACTCCTCTCTTCTCAACAGAACACAAGACACTAAAACAAAGCCTGGTAGATACAACAAGAACAAACGCAGTTCATTACCTTACTCACATACCGCGACACCATTAATAAGGAGCCCATTAAAAAAAAAGCCACACACACACCAAATACACCCACCACACAACGGACCAAGATATTATAGATATATAGTATAACTACTAGCTAACTCTCACCACACGTTAAAATACTTCCCATAAATTCTCAATTATTAACATTATATTATTATTAATACAAAATAAATAAATATTGATAAATCTTGACTGCCCGAAGCCTGGGGCGATACCATCTTCATACAACCTACACTCACCATCGTCTCCATACCTTATGCCCATGCCCAGTCGATTATTAACTCATGGTCAAGACGTCTGCCTGTTCCACTAACTACTTGAGACTATTACCATCTGATTGTACGCGCTATCCGGAACATGGCAGCCCACAGTACAGAAAATCCCCGTGGATCCATCACTGCATCTATAAAACCATGAAACCAAATCATCCTTATTATAGCACACAGACGGGGTATAACACTTTAAACAAAGAGCACCTTTGTCTCGCGACGATCAACGACATCCAGGAGGACGGAACTACATAGGATTTTCTTTTTATTCACAATGCCAACGTGGATTTTTTATTTCTTGAACGAAAAATAAAAATAATTACCTAATATCATATAGTTCAATATTTAACAATCATAAATATAAAATTCACATCAGTATAATACTTTCCAGACCATATTAATATAATAATACAAATAAATATAATACAATTTAATATAATCATATACTACTATAAATACCTGGTTAAATATAATTGCACATAATTAATAAAAATAACAGATAGGTCCTTATTTCTATAGTAAATATATTAAATATATATGAATATATAATATTAACAGTACAGTAGTTAAAGTTATACGGCCAGGAGCATCTCTCTCTCTCTCATTCTCTCTCTCTCTCTTCTGCTCATCTCCCTCTCTTTCTCTCTTCTCCTCTCTCTCTTCTCTCTACTCTAATTTCGTTGATATTGACACTATCATCACATTCAATTCTGAAAAGTCGCGTTAAAGGAAAATACTTGTTTGAAATAATTGGGTCATTTAGTGTAATAATAACACGGTATCATCAATTATATCGTTATAAAAAAAATCATCTTTGATTAACTCTTATCAAGTTATAACGTCATAGTTGTATATATATATATATATATATTTTTATATTATATATATATATAATTATCATTCATTTTCTTTCCATCTTTCGTTTAAACCTGATTTTTTTTATTGATGGTGATAATTGATTTTTAATTACTGGATGTGGAGGTCAGTTTATATTGATTTATTACGGATATAGGGTTTCTATAAAGATTTTGTGGCTCCGTCACTGGGAATGAAATAACTGGTTTCTGTTAATTGACATTTCTATCGTAACTGTTATCAAAGGATTGAAACCTGAGTCATGATAATTCTTTGTCGTTTTTTTTTTTTTTTTTGTCATATTTCAGATTTCTTCGTTTGTTTTATGTCTCTCATTTATCAATTTTCCTTTTTTTGTCCTTACATCTCCCTTTAGGCTTTTTCTCTCCCTATTCAGTATTTTTTTTTTTATCTTTATTCTCAATCTCTCTCTCTCTCTCTCTCTATCTATCTATCTATCTATCTATCTCCCTCTCTCCCTCTCTCTCTCTCTCTTCTCCCTCTTCTCTCTCTCTCTCTCTCTCCCTCTCTCTCTCTCACTCTTCCTTTCTCTATTTCTCTCTCTGCATCCCCCCTCTCTCTCTTATTCTCACTTTCTATCTCACACACTCAAACAAACATACATACACACACACACGCAGATATATGCACACGTAAATACGAACGTACATTCAGTTAAACTCTTACGGAGACAAATGATGTGCTTGTAATAACAGATTAGTGTGCCCGGTTAAGCAAATATATTTTTCTTTCCTTTTTCTGAAGGTCTTTCACTCTCTCTTTTTCTCTCTCTCTCTCTTCATCATTCTTTTCCTTACTCTTTATTCCCCCCTCTCTCTCTTTATCGATCTTTCTCTCTCTTTTTCTTCTTTTTCTTCTATTCTCTGTCTACCTGTCTGTTTATATGTCTATCTCCCTCCCTCCTTCTATCTCTGTCTATTACTTTTTTATAATTTTTGCATTCTCTCTCTCTCCATCTATCTATCTCTATCTAGTCTCTCTCTCTCTCTCTTTTCTCTCTCTCTCTCTCTCTCTCTCTCTCTCTCTCTCTCTCTCTCTCTCTCTCTCTCTCTCTCTCTCTCTCTCTCTCTCTCTCTCTCTCTCTCTCTCTCTCTCTCTTCTCTTCTCATTCCTTTCCCTTTCCCCTTTTCTTCTTTCAATGCCATCCCGTGGCCCTGAGATCTGCGGCTTCCTACCCCCGCCCCCTCCCCCTCCCTCCCCCCTCTCCCTGTCCTCCTCCCCCCTCTCCTCCTCCTCCTCCCCCTCCTCCTCTCTCCTCCTCCCCCTCCCCTCTCTCCCTCCCTTCCCTCTCTCCTCTCCTCCTCCTCTCTCCCTCTCCCCCTCTCCCTCTCTCCTTCCCCTCTCTCCCCCCCTCTACCTTCTCCTCCCCCTCCCCTCTCTCCCTCTCCCCTCTCCCCCTCCCCTTCCTCTCCCCCCCTCTCCCTCTCCCTCCCCCTCTCCACCTTTGCTCACGATATGCCGAGGTATGCGAGGTATGGTTGGGGGGGAGGGGGGGAGGGTGAAGGGAGGGAGGGAGGGGGGGACAGGATCCAAAAGAGAGGAAGGCGACGGAAGAAGAAGAGAAGGAGGAGAGAAAGAAGGGAAGGGAGAGAGGGGATGAAAGGAAGAGGGAGAAAATAGATGGGAAAGGAGGAAAGGAGTGAAATAGGAAGAGAGAGAAAAGGAAGTATGTATACAAAGAAGAGAGAAAGAAGAAACGGAAGGTAAGCGGAAGGAGACAGAAAAACAGCTGACACGAAAACAAAGCGAGGAAAATAGGATAAAAGAGGAGGAAAAGAGAAAGGAAAATAAGAGAAACGAGTAAGCCAGAAGAGGAAATAGTCGACGAAGGAAGAAGAGGAGAGAAAGGAAGCACGAAGAGGATAGACCGAAGGTTGGAAGGGGGGGGGGGGGGAGGGGAGCGCGCC